GAGGAAAACCGATAAACACATTACTTCGGGAAATAGAAGTAGATATGTAAAAGATGAATAACAACTGGAAAGAAGTGTGAAGGATTGTTTGGAACAGGGCTGGATGGAGAGTGTTGGTGGTTGGCCTATTCTCTTTCACGAGGAATAAGAGGCGTAATTTGATGAGCAACTAATAGACTTATCGCTCCACCAAATTTTATCAGAAAATCTTTTCTATTTCAACAGAAACTAGAACCAATGGGACCACTGTTCAGGAGCACAGACCCACATATGTATAGGAGTAGTCTTAAGACCGAAATAAGAGTCGCTATCCAGATCTTGATTAAAAACAACCATTCAGTCACAAAAGATTCGCCATTAAAGTTTGACAAAGGTGATTTGAAGACAATTTCTTTTTTGAAAAGTCGATTTCATTGGATCAAACCCGAGGTATTACGAAAAGAATAATAAATTGTATAGTCAGTAAATGAAATAGATATGAGTAGTAGTATATCAATCTGATTGTAAGGCTTTGAATCACTTATTTTTATAAATGACTTATCCTAATCAAACAATCATTCGTGTTTTCATTGTGTTATGTACATTCTGTGTTTTTAAACGTAGTTCTCTTAATAATTAAAATAAATCATTATTTCCTAATCGGTTATTGTATCTTCTGATATTCGTGTATTATGTGTACGGAATCAGTTGCTCAAAGTTATGTCTAATTATCGTCAGGATATAATTTAATCAGACTATCAATCGAGTTCAACATTCATGGACGATAATTTTGTCACTGACCATCTCATTTACTTACACCTTTTACTTCCAATAGAGTATAGGCTGCCGACCAGTATTCTCCAACTCACACTATCCTCGACCTTCCTTTCTACTTCTATCCAATTGTTGTTCAATCTTCTCATATCTGTCTACATTTCTCTGAGTAATGTTTCTTTGGTATTCCTAGCCTCCTTTGGCCTTGAAAATTCAAACTAAGGACTTGTCTTGTGACGCAGTTGGCTACTTTCCTCAATGTGTGTCTTATCCACTTCCAGTGCTTCGTCATCACTACTTCCTCCGCTGGGATCAGGTTTGTTCTCTCCCACAGTACGTTGTTGTTGATGGTGTCTGGCCAACGGATTTGAAGAATTTTGCGTAGACAACTGTTAATAAACACTTGTATCTTCTGGATGATGGCTTTCGAAGTTCTCCAAGTTTCTACCCCATACAGTGCAACTGTCTTGACATTTGTATTGACAGTTGTTGTGGTATGTAAATTGACTTTTTAGTGTACTGAAAAATTCGACAGTCAACTATTATTCATGAAAATGTAATTATTTGGAACAGAAGTTCTAATCATTAAAAAAATGTAATTTAATAGTTGATTTCATGAACCATGGAAACCTTGAAAACCGATTCATCATAACCTTTGGACCATTGAGCCCGCATCCAACAGTTTTAATGTCTAACTACAACTAATCCACGAAATTGAGCGACGCATCCACCATTGTCATCAGTGAGTTACTATCTCACAACTGACTCGGTTGTATTGCTTTTGATAAATTTCGATAATGCAATGAAAAGACGAAGATCAACAGAACTATGTGATGATACATTTGCGTAGTACATTTCGAACAATTTGATCACATATAATGTACTTATTAAAACATGTTGTATATGACAATTAAAAGGTCAACTAAACAGGTTAAAGGTAAGCCGTCACAAAGGAAATCAAAATAATAAAGTACACAAAAACAATGTGATAATCACTCTGGATAATCAATTAGTAGTACCACGATAGGTTAAGGGTAAGAACAAACTGTCTGTGAATATATAAAAGAGGTTTCAGTTTTCGCATAGCCAAGGTTTCAATAAACCTTAGTATACGCTGTGGGGCCCTTTATTTTGTCGTCATTTAGATCGAACGATGTTGTCGAAAGGGCTCTTCACTTCAGTGGTTCGAGATCTGACTTCAAGGAGATCTTAACGATGATTCTTGTTGAAATATATATGTCGCCTATCCGTCGACTTTAATCGCATTAGTCAATAACGGATTTAGATAAGTTAAATAACGAGAATGAACTTTTGAATACATATTTTTTGTATATGAAGTGAATGGAATGGAGAGAATAGAAACGACGAACAGTGGAGATGACGGGTAAGCCAACTACCATTTAACCAAGCATTAAACAATAGTTATAGTTACACAAAAATAGGTTGCAGACATGTGATGAGTAAATGGGATAAGAAGTGTACACACACCTACGCGCTCATATAAAAACAGTCAAGATTGATAAGCGAATAAGTAACGAGGTGAAAATGTGACTCAAGTAGAATGAATTGATTGACCTGTCCGAAAGCCAGAATAAATTATATGGGCTTAACATAATAACCGACACTACAACGCCCTTGAAGACTTTTGTACAACACTACAAATACTGACTTAATATCAACATTATGGTCAGACTCAGTCAAATGTTTCACAATGGGGGGGGAAGATTTGATTTTGAAACGAAGTTAAACTTATTCAAGTTAAGAGAATCAACAATCAAATCAAATTGTCCAGAATCTTTGAATTTAAGACAAAAAGTAAACCTACATTATTTTTTTCTTTCGTTTTTCTTTTCTCTTTTCTTTTCTCTTTTTTTTGTGTGAATTGGTTTTAATCTCCATCGAAACTGTTAAAAGTATAGTGAGAAATAATTCAACGAGATAGACCGGAGACATTAGATTGGTCTGTGAACTTCAGACAACAACAACAACATGTATATATATATATATATATATATATATATATATATATATATATATATATATATATATATATATATATATATATATATATATATATATATATATATATATATATATATATATATATATATATAGGTATAGATATGACATAAGTTAGTTACCACCATACTTAACAAATATGCTTATTCATTTATTCATTAAATGGTTTTTCATTTTGATCATATGTCATATTGTCAATTCGACATCATTCTGTGGTTCACCACCTTTAGTGAAATTGGTAGATTCAATATTATTAGAGAATTTGATTGAAATTTTAGGATCATACTGTCACTGTACATTCGGATGATGTCGAGAGACGGAATACAGCGCCAAAACATTTAAAGTTTTATACGTATTTTACTTTCAATTTCCGCAGATTGAAACATTATGTTAAACTCTTGGTAATTCACATGATTTATGATAAACATTTTTCTCAGTTTAGTAATGTTTTTCATTGTTTCTATGAATGATTTAATTGTAACAGTTTTAAGTTTTGATTAATATGATTTTTGTTGAAGTAATGAGTAGGAGGAAGCGGTCATCCAGTACTTCCAGATTCTTCATGATGCTGTATCTTCAATTGACTCATGATCTCAACTATTAAAATTAATATAGTATTCACAAAAACCGTTTTTGATGTTAATCAACATATACTCACTAGTGACTGGCTTCAAGAGGTATTTCCTGGAGTTCTAGTGAGAAGCAGTGATTAGTGGAGTTCAACCGAATCTGTTGTGAGATAGTAACTCATTGATAACAATGGTGGATGGTGATGGAACTTCGTGGATTGACTAAAGTAAGTCATCAATGTCATTGGATGCCGGCCAGCTCAATGGTGTAGAGATTAAGCACTCGCGCGTGTAACCGATAGGTCCTGGGTTGGAATCTCTCGAGGCGGGATCGTGGATGCGCACTGTTGAGGAGTTTTATAATAAGGCGGAACGGCCGTCAGTGCATCTAGGTTTTCTATGATGATCTAGCTTCAATTGACTCATGATCTCAATTATTAAAATTAATAATGTAATACTTTAGTTGTGTTATTTTACATTTTTACAGAAATTTGCACAAGTAGCAATAAAGTATTGGGAAGAAGCATTGACAGTCAAGAAACCTGGAAGTGGAAAACAACTAGCAAAAAGGTGATTGTACTGTTAGCTTACTTGTTTTTTGATGTATAATCATTAGCATTCTTGTCGAACTTGTCATTCTTGTCATTTCAATGTTTCAAGGTATCCTATTAAGTAACATAAATAATTCACTATTCTAGATTAAAACTTAATAGATGGATTTCTTTTATTCTTAACTGAACAACATTCTTATTTTGTTTCATCAAGGTATTGTGAAAGTGGATACTATCGCACAGTTACTGCAAATAATTCCATAGTCTGTTATAAGTCGAAGTGTAAACGCGATGTTCTGTGCGGAGGGGTGAAAATTCCAGATCAGTATGTAGGGGTGAGTATGAGTACAGGTGTAATATTTTTACTGTTATAAATATAGTAGATATTTAAAATGCAACAATGAGATGTGTACTAGATTTTTAATTCATTTCTTATAAGTGATTGAAGATGTGAAATACAGAATACTTAACAGTGCAAATCTGCGATTCCACCCACGGGATTCGAACCCAGTACCTTCGGTCTCGCACACGAACGCTTATCTTCTAGATCACTGATCCGGGATAATTATAGAATCAACATTGTAATGTAGTCTCTTTAGAAACAAATATAGATTTGTATATTAATATCATCCGAATTGTGAATACTCTCTCAAAATTCGGTGTATGACTTTTGTCATACAACAGCTATGATGGCCTGAACAGAGATTAGATACAAAACTGTTTAGATTATTTCATCACCCTTTAAGATTATATATATTTATTCAAAGAGAATTGGATAAAAATCAACTAATCATCTTCAAGAGTTATTCAAGCTCGATATACGTTGAAATGACATTACTTGAACTAGATTTCAATTCGTAAAACAATGATGTATATTTTGATGGAGTTTTGTTCTTTGAGCTCAATGGTTTTGTCATGTAGCTTTCATCGTCCTTCTGAATGACATCATCAACACAAACTTCTACTTGAAGCTCCACAACCAAAACATCCAAATTAGAGAACAAAACTTCATCAAAATCATCCACCTGAGCTACAAATCTTCTCCACCATCTCAATAGTCTATATTTTATTATTTGTGTTTAGAATATTACGATTCAATTATTCTATCATGATTAACTTTCAGGAATGTTATCAATTAAAAAATAACCGATTACATAGATCTTACAGAAATGGAAGTGGAATACCATCTGACGGTTATGTTCTATTTGTTGATGCTATAAATACAATTACCTGTTATGGTGGTGCAGCAGCATATGCATCATCATGTTTAATGGATGAGGAAACAGATAGGTAATTAAATATGTTTATTAGAGCATATTCTTGTTTTAGATGAAAGAAAAATGACTGAATTGCTTGTTCAAAGACCAATGTTTTTAACTATAATACTCTTAAATCAAATGTTTACGATAATATTGTGGAAGTTAAGGAATTGCCTTCCAATTTTATCCATTCAGTAGTTGTTCTTTGAATCTGTTTTGAAATACAAGTACAAAATAGACATGCATTGTATTTAAAGTTACTTAACTGGATGATGGTTAGCAGTGAAATCCAGGATGCGTGTTTCATCCTATCTAGGACTCGTCAGTCGGATATACCTGCTTCACTTCGATGATGTTCATTCTGGGACTCAAACCCAGTACTATTCGCTTTAAGCGCCATCACGTTATTCACTTAGCTACTGTTTCCAGATAGTTACTAGCTAGTACAATGAGGTGAAGTTTAATCAATCTTTGTATTGGTTGTTTGAATCTTCTCATGGAAATTTATGACTGTAATTTAATGACTTAAGACACCATCAGAACAATCTGCACATGATGAACGTATACCAATAACAGACTGATGAACTGTAGTCCTAAATATCAACGAGAACACTGAAACAATCAATACACATATGAATAAAATATAGCAGTTTAACTTACGCTGTCCCAAATTTCTAAACAATAAGTAGCTACACTTTAAATTTGATGCAACTAAGAAAAAGTAAACATCTGAGCAATAAGAAATAGGTTAGACTATTTCCATGAAACTGTCGCACGTGAAAGTCGAATTAGTCACTAATAGCAAGTCTGTAAACGTTATTAGCACTTTAAGTTCATTAAATTAAAATCGATAATTAGTACAATTCATTCTTTAAACCTTGAATTTAGTTTACGAGTGATTTATCTCTGTCCAGAACACACAGACCTTCCTATAGACGTCACTCTACCAACGACCAGGATGGCAATCCGAATAATCAGGAGCGGGAAAGCAACAGGACCCGACAATATACCAGCTGAAGCACTGAAGTCAAACATCGAAGTAACTGCAAACATGCTCCGCGTTCCATTCAAGAAGATTTGGGAGAAGGAACAAGTGTCGACGGACTGGAAAGAAAGACACCTCATCAATATACCAAAGAAAGGTCTGAGTATATGTGAGAACTACGGAGCCATCACACTACTGTCAGTACCAGGAAAAGTTCTCAACAGAGTGTTGCTGAACCGAATGGAAGATTCAGTAGACACCCACCTTTAAGATCAACAGGCTGGATTCTGTAAGGATCGGTCGTACACAGACCAAATTTCGACGCTACGGATCATCGTCGAACAATCAGTTGAATGGAACTCATCACTATACATCAACTTCATTGACTATGAGAAGGCGTTTGACACTGTGGATAGGAGAGCATTATGAAGACTTCTTCGACTCTATGGAGTTCATGAGAAGATAATCAACATTATCGGAACTCACACGACGGACTACAGTGCAAAGTCATGCATGGAAGACAGCCGACAAATGCATTCCAAGTAAGGACCGGAGTCAGACAAGGCTGTCTACTCTCCCTTTTCCTCTTTCTTCTGGTGGTTGGCTTGATTATGAAGACTTCACATCTGAGGGGAAGCACGGAATACAATGGACAGCTCAGAATCAATTAAAAGATTTGAACTTCGCAGATAAATTGGCCCTCCCACACCATACACACAAACAAATGCAAATGAAGACGACTAGTGTAGCTGCAGCCTCTGCATCAGTCGGCGACAACATACGCAAACGAAAAAGCAAGAGCCTTAATCTTAAAATCAAAGAATATATGCAACTCAAAACAATTGTCTGTCAATAATATCAAAGTCACAATCTTCAATTACAACGTCAAGACTGTTCTACTGTGCATGGAGCTGAAACCTCCAGAACCACTACAACCATCATCAAAAAGGTACAAGTATTTATAAATACTTATCTACGCATCATACTCAACATCCAACATTAGCCGGATACCATCAGCATCAGCCTTCTGCAACAGAGAACAAACCAACTTCCAGCAGAAGAGTAAATTAGCAAAACACGTTAGAAATGGATAGGACATACATTATGGAAATCATCGAACTGCATCACGAGGCACGCTCTCACTTGGAATCGTGAAGGGAAGTGAAAAAGAGGAAAACCAAAGAACACATTACGTCGAGAAATAGAAGTAGATATGTAAAAGATGAATAACAACTGGAAAGAAGTGTGAAGGGTTGTTTGGAACAGGGTAGGATAGAGAGTGTTGGTGGTTGGTCTATTCTCCTTTACGAGGAGTAACAGGCGTAAGAAAGTAAATAGATTGTCAACTCTAAAGTAGATAGGTTTGAACGAATGATCTTTTTTTTGTAATCCCAGTAACACGAAACACTCATTCAACAAATTACATAAGATATTATGTCACTAAACCAACTACCCAACTATCTACAATGTCTATTGAATTAAATATGTAATGTAATACTGGATAAATTTAGATTACAAAATGAAATTGTGATGTAACTACTTACTTAATTACTTTAATTGAGAACAATTCATTCATTGTTTTATATCCGTATATTGATACTACTTAATACTTTAGGCCAATTCTTGGATTTATAAATGTTTGCCCAGGAAATATGGGAGTCCATTATCCTGAAGATAGAATATCAATTGGAGTTTTCCTACATGAAATTGGTCATGCACTTGTAAGTTCATTTATTATTTTGATAAGATAAAGAGTATTTTTCTATTCATTGAGATCACTGAACAATTATATTGAAATATATCTAGCATTGAGATTGTGAAGAAGATTTCTAGCTCAAATGGATGATTTTAATGGACTTTCGTTCTCTGGGATGGATAGGTTGATCGTGAAGCTTTCATTGTTTTTCTGAACGACATCATCAACACAAACTTCAGTCAGACTTCCATCTATTGTTCAGAAGAACGATGAAATCTCCGTGATCAAACGATCATGCAGCTCAGAGAACAAAACTCTATCAAAATATATTTGGCAACAACAGATATCTTAATGTTTAGTTTTTCTATTATGACCTCCTGATTACCTCAAACCATCGAAAAAAAGCATAGAATATAAAGTCTTTACGACCAGTGACCACGCTGATAACTAACCGATAAAACTTGATCAACGCTAAGAGCTACGTAAACATGACCTAAGTTAACTATTAATTTTATAGTTGAATTCATGAGTCAGTTGAAGCTAGACCACGGTAGAAAACCTGGAAGCACTATACAGCTTAGGAGTCCCATACTAGGATATAATACCATCTTAGTAAAATCTGAGAATTATACAGTAATTGCTTCATTTACAAAATGTCAATCAGTTCTTTCTTCATAGTGTTATTCAGTTATTTATCTGAAACTACTGTTAATATTCTTGACATGTTGGTGTTGTAAATATGAACAGGTATATACAATCTCATATATACTATTCTGATTCTGTATAGTCATTACTTAACATTTTTAAAATTTATTATATTTTAGGGATTTTCATCATCCAGCTTCCCTTTTATGCGCTTTCCAAATGGGACAGCTCGAACTCCCAGGGACGAAACACGTAAGCCAAAGTACAAAGATAAATATGGACATTATATTCCGAGGTGAGAATTTCATGTTTCTATATATTCAACCAATAGAAACTTAGGAAACCTTGTGATACAGAAATATAAGTATAGGATTGTGGAGATTATTAAGTTTTTGATTCAGATCATGAACCAATTAATGTCAGACTACCATTGAAAACATGGAATCACTGGTCGGCCACTTCGTTCTATTGTGGGACTCCTCAGCAGTACACATCCGTCCAGTGCTTCCAAGTTTTCAATGGTGGTCTAACATCAATCAGTTCATGATCTCAATTAAAAAAACCTAGTAATCTCCACAACCCTATACTGATAATTACCATGTACTCACTAGTGACTAGATTCATGGGGGAATTCTCGGAGTTCTAGTGAGAAGCTGTGACCAGTGGAGTTATTCCGTGTTGGGTAGAGACAGGTATCTACCTCAGTACAATGGAAGATGGCTGTGAAGTTTTGTGGATTGATTAATGTTAGACATTACCATCACGGTATGCCGGCTCAGTGATTTAAAGGTTAAGTGTTCGCGCGCGGGACGAAGACCCCAGGTTGGAACCCTGAGAGCGGGATCATGGATACGCACTGCCGAGGAGTCCCACGACAGAACGAAATGGCCGTCTAGTTCTTCCAGGTTTTCAATGGTGGTCTAAGATTAACCAGTTCATGATCTCAATCAAAAACCTAATAAAGAAGTAGCCTTATTTTACAGAAATGTACTATTTGTTATTGCATTGAGTAAATTACGATGTTTTATATAGAAACGTATAAAATCAGTTACAAATTCAGTTTTATACAGATTTCATTGACTATTATTCTCTAAAATTTACCTCTGTCATTGTCTAAAACCATGTTTAGTATTTGAAAAGTCACTTCTCGCAAACTGCCATAAACAATATGTCCTATTAACAGTGTTTTCAGCATCATTATGTGACTGGAATTCACTACTAGGTTTGAAACAAAAGAGCAGACTGCTGACTCAGATATATATTGTTATTGCAATGATAATTTCATTTAGATGAATGAACAATACTATCCAAGTAATTGTTGACAGATAGGCTAATCTTAACCATGTGAACGTATAAGTTGGATCTGTAACTGATGTACCTCGGCGTCAAAAAAAAAATCAAAACTCTATACCCAAAGTTATTTTTTATCTGCATATGATCGATTTACTTGTGTAATGATATTATGAGTAGTAGAAGCTACGTACTGATCTTTAAAGGTAGGTTTCACACATCATATGTTACGTATAATTAGTCTCGAAAATGCCCTGGTACGACCGAGAGTGAGGAGAGTCGATTCTCCCTCTCCAAATGCTGTCACATGGCTCCTGACAGGGAAGTTCTACTCACTGCTTTCTTGCAACACGTATGTTGTTTAAGAAATTGAGAGGACGAAAAGCAGATTTCCCGAGCTTTAACCGAGTTGGTGGACACAAAGGTTCCACCTAGAGGAGTTGTGAAACCCTAATTCCAAACCAATAGTTCACACGAACTCCACGATCCTAATGGAACAAATGGCGTATGAATCAATTATCGGTCACAAGCTACTATGAAACTGCATCTCCTGACGTTGCTCCACTGCCCTGTGGATTAGACTTTTATATCGAAGTCTCCGGTTTTGTCCCCGTAAGAAAACCATCTGTTTCGGTTTTGGTACCCGGGCATTATCACAGCCCTCAAATAAATCGAATGATTTATGTGGCGCACCAATATTTGGTGCCTCCTAGAACCAATATTTATGTGTTCGAATAAGTAAATAAACAATTAGTTAAGATGATGACCCTAATATTTCACCATACAAATCTATTTGAATAATTTCCGAAAACTACTGTTGTGAGTAACGTTATCACCAGGCTTTCTTTCGAGTGAGAATTTTTTTAAAAAATGTATATGCTTATAATGCAAGTTTTTGATAAGTTAAATATCTTTTTCACAGTAACAACACTGTCAAAATCATCACAAGAAAATGGAGAAGTACGGCAGGATGGTTTACAAAAGACTTTTATGCTTTAGTTACTCCTCAAATCCTGGTTAGTTAAGTCTTTTATACAATTCATATGATTTTATAATGAAGAAAATGTTAGATAGAAATTCTTTAATTCACCTCGAACGAAAAGAAATTTTTCTCATCGACTGATGTACACTATCTTAACTAATAGGTCCTGGGTTTGAATCTCGTGAGGTGGGATCGTGGATGAGCACTGCTGAGGAGTCTCATAGTAGGACAAAATGGCCGTCCACTGCTTCAAGATTTTCTGTGGTGGTCTAACTTCAATTGACTCATAATCTCAACCATCGAAATTATATCATCTTTCTGAATGAAAACCCTTAAACTAGTCATATATGGATTATCAGGAAGGGGTTTTATGGATATTATAGTAATTTAATAGTTGAGTTCATGAGTCAATTAAAGCTAGACCAATATTGAAAACCTGGAAGCACTTGACAGCCAACTCGTCCCATTTTGGGACTCCTCAACAGTGCGCATCTGCGTTTAATTTGTGTCTACTTGTATGTAACCATATTGTTATATCCGAGTGGAGATTAAATTACAGGTAACTTCCGAGGACTATTCATGGACTAATATCCTATAAATATTCTTATTGTATAAATATTCAACAATTGCATTATGTATATTTATATTCCTTTTATGATAAGCTTTATTTTGACCTATAATTTATTATTGTACGATTTACGGTTCTTAAGTTATGTTCAGTTTATTAACTACTGCCTCCCACATTCACAGCCACTTTTCGGGCTTATTTGTGTACAAATATTATTTCCTATTTTATGGTACGTTGCGGTCTGTGTGATTGATATATAAACCAAGTATGCCTGAAATAAACGATCTGCTCTGATTCGGAAGCTGGTATCTTGTTCTGGACTCAAGTGGAAGGGCTCGTAGGACATAGGACCAATAAGGACGCTAAACTGCCCACACCGGTTGAACGTCATTGGTTGGCCTAGTGTGAGGATACGTATAAGTCGTATTCGGATTGGTAGATAAATCGTGTGATCGAAAAGTCAGACATCCAAGGTCATAACACATATGTTAAGAAGAAGCAAGTGTTTTGTGTTTCTTGGTGTTGGTTGGTTATTAGTGAAAGCGTTTAAGTCTTTTAGAGTAAAAAAATTATTGTTATTTAGTGTGTGAAGCCAAAGACTGACTTCATTGTATTTACTTATTCAAAAATGAAACAAAATAAATATTATCAGTATGGAGTTGTGGAAGTTATTAAGTTTTGTTTTATTGAGATCATTGGTTTAGAGATTAAGTGTTCGCTCATGAAATTGAAGGTTCTGGGTTCGACTCCACGAGCATGATCGTGGATGCACACTGTTGAGGAGTCCCACAATAGGAAGAAACGGTCATCTAGTGCTTCCAGGTTTTCAATAGACGTCTAACATCAATCGATTCATGATCTAAATCAAAAACAAAATTATTCTGGGTTTCTCTTCATTTAATTAAAAAGAATCAAATTGTACATACTTATAATATTTAGAACGCTGCAAGAAAACATTTCAGTTGTGAACAGTTAGATGGAGCAGATTTGGAAAATCAATACCAAACTGGACTGATAGGATCGCATTGGGAGGGAAGAACATATTCAGTGAGTTTACTTAAGTGTTAATATGAATTCTATACATTCTTTAATTGTGTCATAAAGAACTGTCAAAATAGTATATTTTACTATTTCTGACATTATTTGCATTGAATTAAGAGTATTAAGGAGTTAAGTAGCAAATAAAGTCAACATGTTAAACAATTACCGTAATATTAGACTTTTTCAAGAAGGATAGTTATTTGTGACGTTGTGACTCACGTTCTGTCCTATTTGGGACTCGTCAGCTGGATGTACCTGAATCCCAGAGTTGATGTTCTTTCCAGCTGACGAGTCCTAAATAGAACGAAATGCGGGTCTTGGATCCAGCTGCAATCATCATTAATTACTCATGTGAACAAAGTAACACATTTCAGTACGGTAAGCAGAGCTTTTTCATTTATTATTAGTAGTAGGGTATACACTTTGTTGATGATAGTTCAGTAAAGGTTAGGACGTAAATATTATTGAGAATAATATAGCATAAAAAACCGTATTCTTGTATACACATCAATGTTAGTTGTTTCACTGTTTATGTAGTGTATTAACATCTTGGATTTCAGAGCGAAATAATGGCTGCAATGGTAGAACCTGATTACTCTGTATCGCGTGTTACTCTTAGCTTCTTTGAGGATTCGGGGTAAGCAAAGTCAGACAAAGTAATTACCTATTTTTTATTACAACGATGGATATAAAAGAACAATGTCAGTTTTCATGCGGAATCTCTGATTATAGATTTGGTTTCGTTAACGATTTCGAAATCTGGACTCCATGAGCCTATGTTTGCAGGTTTTGGAAGGATATTATTGGAAGCAGTGTTGCGGACGGTCCATCTTTACTGTAACTGTTACCTTACCACACATTTTTTTGAGAAACTGAATGAATCGCACAGTCTATGAACCTACTTCTGTCTGTTATAACTTGTGGACTTTTGCCCCTATCAATATGTGCCGTAATAATACCACCAATTAAAGAACAGTGATTATTCGACCAGACTAATAACGCATAAAACAGGTACGAAGAGTTTACAGTCTTTATCCATCCTTCTCCCTGTTTAGTCCTACAGGTTAAGTCCAGAACACCAATCTCAGCCTCTGCAATATGAATTATGTATTTCAAACATACTGGGTTTATATACCAACCAAACAGACCACATCGTACCATGAAATTGGAAATAACATTTGTACAAGACCAAGTTAAAAGTGGCTTTGAATGATGGAGACTGTAATGAATAGACTGTGCACAACTCAAGAACGGTAAATCGTATAATAATAGTCTATGGGTCAAGATAGCGCTAATCATAAGAGGAACAAGAATATGAATAATTTAGTTACTTAACAATTATACGATAAAAATATGTGTATAGGATTTGTCTATAAATGGATCCCAACAGTAACCATCCATTATTCTCGTCGGAATAGAACACTCTCGTAAACGCCAACATTGTCTCAGAGACATGATGGAACTCACTGAACAGACTGAAGGTTTCTGAACTCAGTTTCATATTTCATATCAAGCGAATATAAAATATTTTCCAAACCAAAATACATTAAATGATTCGTTCATATCAGAAAGGGGTTTTGTGGAGATTGTATTAATTTCAATATTTTAGATCATGGGTCAATTGAAGCTATACCACCATGGAAAGCCTGGGAATATTGGGAGGCCAACCCGTCGTATTACGGAACTTCTCAGCAGTGCTCACTTATGACCCTCTCCCGCGGGATTCGAACCCAAGAATTATTAATCTCGCGCAAGTACTCTTAAACTTTTAGGCACTGAGCCAGTCGGGATCTAACGGTGTTAATGTCTCACTTCAACTAGTCCACTAAATTGAGTGACACATCCGCCATATCAAACCCACAATAGTTTTGCATATACTTTAACCATGTCAACAAATGACAGGTTTATCCTTAATAAAACTATCTTTGTCATAAAATCTCAAATTTTGTAATGCAATACCACTCTTCTCAAAACTATATACACTTCATCACGTTCGTTGATCTTCACTATTTCTTTTATATCACACTTGTTTAAAACACTCATTTTGAATTTATCTGGTAATCAGTCCTTTACAGATACAATAAACTATACTTACTTACTTACTTACGCCTGTTACTCCTCGTGGAGCATAGGCCGCCCACCAGCACTTTTCATCCGAAAAGTAAACTATAAATTAACTATCATCTTTACTTAGTAGTTTGTATTAATTATATCACCGTCTGGTGTATTCTGTACTAATTTTCATTATTGTTATTCATTCGTTAATGATGTGGAATTTGACTTTTTAAATTCTTTTATGTCATTTTAAAGTTGGTACACTGTTGATTACTCAAAAGCAATGAAATGGGAATATGGTAGACAATTAGGATGTGACTTTAGCATGAAAAGTTGCTTCGACTATGCTCAAATTAGACGACAACAGTGAGTCAATTGTCATTTCAATTATGAATTTATAATATTGTTCTTTGTTCAATACCTTCATATGTCTAATCGACAAAATATATGTTACTTACATACTTACGTCTGTTACTCCTCGTGGAGGAGCATAGGCCAACCACCAACACTCTCCATCCAACCCTGTTCCAAACAATCCTTTACACTTCTTTCCAGTTGTTATTCATCCTTTACATATCTACTTCTATTTCTCGACGTAATGTGTTTTTCGGTTTTCCTCTTTTCCACTTTCCTTCACGATTCCAAGTGAGAGCTTGCATCGTGATGCAGTTCGATGATTTCCATGATGTATGTCCTATCCATTTCTAAGGTCTTTTCCTAATTTACTCTTCTGCTGGAATCTGGTTTGTTCTCTGTTGCAGAAGGCTGTTGCTGATGGTATCCGGCCAATGTTGGATGTTGAGTATGTGGTGTAGATAACTATTTATAAATACTTGTACCTTTTTGATGATGGTTGTAGTGGTTCTTCACGTTTCAGCTCTGTACAGTGAGACTGTTTTCGCGTTCGTATTTAAGATTGTTACTTTGATATTATTGACAGACAGTTGTTTTGAGTTGCATATATCCTCAATTGTAGGACTACAGCCCTTGCTTCGCTATGTAACTCAAAGTTACACAATGCAATCGCAACTGGTAATTCAATAATTCAGATCTATTCTTTAATATTTATACTTCTGAGTGTATTAGATGTCTATCAATTTATCAAAAATCCTTACCTTTCAATATACCACCAAGTAGTTGGGGATGTTAGATCCCCAGAACTCATTTGATCAATACCCTATTTTTGTAATTTTATTTTAAAATTTTGGATTTCTTGTTTTCGTACCAAAGGCGCTTATTTTCACTGTCGGGTTGTATTTCCCACTTTGGAGAATCTTAAACACTATTAGTTCATTGTATCTTTTAGGATGCAATTTTGTAACGCTTCCTAAGGACAATTCATTGCTGTATATATGTGTTTGATTTTTACCTGTTATTATTTCTCATGCTTCTGGGTGCTTGCGGAGTATGTTCCTCTGTTTCGAACATGAAGTTCTCTCTCTAGTTAACGGGGCTGTGACGCATCAGAATAGCTAACTTATTGGTCTTTGGTCACAGAGTCCTTGTTTCGTTCTCAGACTAAGTGAACTTGTAATCACTTCAAACATTGCATAATGAAATTGTCTAACTGTTTACTGTTGATATTTAACTTCAAACATAATACTTTGTTTGTTGATGGCATAGTAAATTGTTTTGAATAAAGATACATGACGAAAAATGAAATTACTAATTGCCTTTAAAATTGATTGTTTTTTTCGTTAAGCCACAGGAAAATTATCCCATTCTGTGACAATGTCAATGAAGCAAGATGTCGGGATGCATTCTCATATGGAAGATGTATTATTGTGAGGTATGGAACCCCAGTTCCTAAAGAAGATCGGTTCTTCTCCAAAGCCCCATTTGACACTGAATATCCTCCTGAATATTTCGGTGGGAATGATCCATTTACAGACTATTGTCCAACAATGGCTGTAAGTTGATTGCTCCACATTCTTGTGAATATTTCACCTTATAACGTTTACTATTATGACCTACGGTTCTCGGTCAACTTCTATAATCATTTTTCATTCCTGACCATAATCAGAAATTAACTATTTATAATTTAAAATATATTCGCCTCTACCGACTTTCATCTATGAATCTGTGACGAAAACATGAATTACCATCGTCGGTAATGTGTGATATTATCAATTAATGCTCCCATACAAGGACAAAATTGCTGTCCAATCCTATCAGGTTTTCAATAGTGGTCTAGCTTCAATGGAGTCATGAATACAATGATTGAAGATATTTAGGTTTTATAATAAACCATATTTAGATAAAAAGATATTTTCACTATTACTGTGAAATAATCTGAAATGATATAAATATAGCAACTATCCTACAACAAGCATTATAAGCAAAGATGAATAGTGGATATCAGTGGAATCCAGGACGCGCATTTTGTCCTGTTCGCGACTTGTCAGTAAGATGTACCTGCATCTCAGATTTGATGTCCACTCTGGGACTCGAACCCAATACTGTTCGCTTCAAACGACAACAAATTTCGATTATGGTTCACTTTGGCTAAACCCTATTATTAATTTACTTAACGGACAATCTTATTTGAACAGTAACTATTCGCATATTTCTTTGTACTGTTATGATCACTAGGTAACATAACAGACTCTAGCGAAAATGTTGATTGCTTAAATATCATCCGATGATTCATTCCGATCCCTATGTATTTATGTACTCGAATCCGATTATTAGCTTTTGGTTTGTCTTGCTGTGCCTTCATGCAACTTGACTATAAATTTCCCTATGTAATTGCACGCATACAAATATACGCCTCTCTGCTTCAAATTCACTTGATGTGCTTATAACTTTGTGATCTGTGCTATCTGCTAATAGACTGCAGTTTCCGCTTCTTATTGCCTTCTAATTTCAAACGCCGTTGAGATTTATATAATAATGGTTATCGAGGGTGATTGATTAACGAAACAAAGCCACTACAAGTACTTTTAATGAGATATATGGTGAAGCTTATATTAGTTAACATGTGGGAAATGATACTGTTTTAACATAGAAAATTACAAATGGTTGTTTTGAATAAGTAACAGTTAAAATAGTTTCAATTGTTCAGTACTACTCAAAATCACTTGGCTAGACTATAATTTATGGACCCGTTAATCAGGAGCGTTTCAGGAATTTCAGGGTCATGATGTCAATTTCCGTACCTAGTGCTCACATACGATCATTTCGCAGCGGGTTTTAGAGAAAACGTGATAGGATTTTTTTCGCTATATCCAGATTGAGAGTAAGTCAAATTATGACAGTTGTTGCGAACTGGATAATAAAAGCCCCAGTAACACTGGCTGCTACAGAGTACTACAATATATACGGATGATTGAAGAGCGTACAGACACCTACAGAGACTTGTTTATGTGCATCGTGTCGTTATCCACAAGTGGCATTTTATGGATCCAACCACCGGAGTGCACACAAACAATATTGAAACGATATGATCGAGGCTGAAAGTTTTCGCGTATTTATCATGGCTCCAGAGGTCGACAGTTATAGAGCCATATGGATGATTCCCTCTACTATATTGATCCCAATTTTAGAACCTCTGGATCTCTTTCTAACTTTGAAAAGTTTCTGAACCATATAAAAGAAGTGTATCCATTTTAGTTCTTTGGTTATATATGATAGATTTTTACTCTATACTAGCTGTTTTCTAATTGACTAATATTTGAAGGGGTTTTATGGATATTATAGTAATTTGAATAGTTGAGATCATGAGTCAGTTGAAGCTAGGCCATCATGGAAACCTGGAAGCACTAGACGACCGTCTTGTCCTACTGTAGGACTCCTCAGCAGTGAGCATCCACGATCACGTTGGATATCGGCTCAGCGGTCTAATGATTAGAAACTCGCGCGAGACTGATAGGTCCTAGATTCGAATCTCGCGAAGTGAGATTGTGGATGAGCACAGCTGAGGAGTCCCATACTAGGACGAAACGGCCGTCCATTGCCTCTAGGTATTCCATGTTGGTCTAGCTTCAATTGACTCGTGATCTCAACTATTAAAATTGGCTAATATTTCTCAAGCTCATACAAGATTCTTTCAAAGGTCGTCCATAAATTATAGTCTCGCCATTTTTGTAAGAAAATATCTTCTCATAATAATGATGTATTATATTGGACTAACCTTACTCTCCCACATTTGTAGTATGTTAAAGGTTTGGGCAGTGAATATTCAGCTACATCATTCTGTACACATCAGGAGAATGAGAAATTATCACGTAAGCACTTTACTCTTTTTTTTCTGTATAGTGTACTTTACATTTAGCTTAAAAGCATGCTTTCATCAATAAGAAAGAGACTATAAATTATGAACGAGTCAATCAGATTTAACATAAGAGGTCTTGGATTTCGGCACGAAATTCATTCATCCATTTGAGTAACTAGAGTCCTGGCATCTTAGCTTATGTCAGTTCGTGGTGAATTACCTTAATTATAATTCCTAACTCTGACCATCAAATGGAAATTATAATCTTTATTCTTCTCATCGGTTTATAACCCTCATTTAGCTCTAGTAAGTAGGTGAATATTCTGAAAGTCACTTTAGCATTACTCAATGATCGTCCATAAGTTATAGTCTCATATCGATAAGTTATCAAGTTAAATATTTTATGCGTTTGACGTGGAAATTTATTAAAAACCATCCAGTTGGGATTTAATTATCCCACTTTTTTCATTTGATGTTATTTACTTGTATCGTCTCATTGTTATTTAGGACTGGAATTAATCAGTCTCTTGTTGTTCATATATACTTGTCCTGTAAGGACTGCCACGATATCGATATCGAGTCCCAGAATGAACATCAACTCTAAGATACAAGTACATCCAACTGACGAATAGGACGAACCGCATGTCTTGGATTTCACTGCTAGCCATTATTCAATTTATTTCTTCGTTAACCTATCATTGAATTACTCAATTACAAATCAAGTATTCTGTGAATACAATTGACCTAATTCTTATAAAATGATCATATATCGAATCACCTATTCACAGAACACATGTAGTGAAGAATTTTGAGTAGACTGGTTAGAACAGCGTTTTAGGCTTTATTCACAAATATAGTTAGCCCATCAAATATTTTACATGAGAAGAATAGTTAAGCCGATTCTCTAATGTTTGTTTGTTGATTGTACTTTTTATTGATTCAATAATCAACTTGGATCGGTTTTAGAATGGAGAATTTCACTTACTTATTGTATTATACATAGAATTTGAAACTGTATGGTATTTTCAATAGCAAAGATACCATTATATCATGGACGCAAAGTAAACTCTAGGTGTATTTCACAAATCTATAATGGCTTATGTATCATTTTGCTAAACATTCAATGCTCTTCATTAGAATTCTAAAATTGTTTCGTAAAATGTAGAAAATATACGACAGTGAAATAACCATGGGAAACAGATGTTTCCTAATATTATAAGCAAAGATGTATAGTGATTAATAGTGGGATTCGCGACCCACGTTTCGTCCTATTCCGGACTCGTCAGTTGGATGCACCTGTAGCTCAGAGTTGATGTTCACTCTGGGACTTGAACCTATTACCGTTCGCTTCAAACGCCGTCACTTTATCTGCTTAGCTACTGAGTCGAGATAGCCACTAGCTTGTGCAATGGAGTGAAGTTTAATTCATCTTTGTATCGGTTGTATGAATCTTCCCATTGCTGTTTAGGACTGCAATTGATCAGTCTATTATTGGCATATGTCCATCCTGTGCGTATTGCCTAGATATAGCCTTAATTCACAAGCATTATAAACAAAGAAAATTGGATCAATTTGAATGATTTGTGCCTAGGGTTTTTCTGTCCATTCAGTAACTAAATAATGTATGTAATAGCATAGCATTAATTAGAGCTTTCATTTCGAGATATAACTTCACATTTGCTTATAATTCTTGTGAATTAAGGCAATATCGAGGCAATACGCACAGGATGCACATATACCAATAAGAGACTGAACAATTGCAGTTCTAAATACCAACTGGGAAGATTCAAGTAAACAATATCAAGTGAATTTAAGTTTCCTTTTTCCTAATCAGATATTTACATCGTCGATCTATCTGTGTATTTAGCTAGTCGTTCTGAATGGATAAGAAATAATTAATCAGTTATTTAAAACTCATCTTCTATATTAGGTATAGGCGTTAACCGATATTATCAAACATATGGACTAAATGGAATTTGTGTTGAACATCGAGGTGTTTGGAATTACACCCACAAACATGAATACACTTTAGGGACATATTTGAAAGGAAGTTGTCATAAGGTACAGTTTTGTTCTCTTTTATATTTCTGTCATCTATTGAGTTTTTAAAGATAAAACCAAACTTTCAAGATGATATAAACGTCTGATAACTTTTGAGTAATATCAGTTCATGTTAGATAGTTTGCATTACTGAAAGAAAAGTAGAAAATCATGTAAAAATAGAACAACTTTGTCTTGAATTTGATCTTCACAGTGTGGACTACTAACGACACCTCATAGACTTGATGCGAGATTAATTTGTAACACAGCTTAATAATCATTAAAGTTATCTGGAATATGTGTTCTTTCGAGATTGAACATTATTTTACTTCAGAAAATTCAGGGACTACTTTCTTATCTGCGAAATCTTTCTTCAAATGATATGCACCTTGAATATTGTCTTTACATTTATGTTGTAATGTCTAGAAATTATATATATTAACAGTTTCTAGTTTTGTGACTGAAAATGTATGCTACTGTTATAGGTTATGGCCTCGAACCTTAAAGACCGGATGCCTTAACCTGTACTAGCAGTCTAGAGTTTTTATCAGTCCTTCTTTCTGCCTATCCTTGCCTATTAAGTTCAGAATACACATCTCAGCCTCTGCAATATGAATTATGTATTTCAAACATACTGGGCTCATATACCAATCAAACAGATCACAT